TGAAACATAATAATCTTCATAATGTTCAAAACTGTTTTAGGTGTTAACAAAGGGACAACAAACAATGCGCAGTGGCGGATCCAGGAATTCAAGATAGATAGGGGGGCCTGGGAATGTACTTTCACAGATGGAGGATCTATAGACCTCAGCCCCACAATGGTTAGGGCTGAGGTAAGAAAATTTGTGATTTTGGCACCTTTAGATGACCGGAAATATTGACAAGATCTCAATGCAAAATAGGAAAGGGTAGTCTTTGTAAATAACTTCATGCTTGATAACCGGAGCTTGTATCAAAATAATTCTATGTTCACCTGGTCATCAGGTATTCATTCATTACTTTTACCATATTGTAATTTGTTAAATGTTTGAACTAAACCTAACTCACTTAGTGCGTCTTAGCTAAAGGGTAATGTTACTGACAAATTACATGATGAATTTTGTTCTGGTTGGCTTAATGATTTCACCAATACCCAGTCGAAAATGAGGGCATTGTTGTCTTTTTAAAAACGCATTTACCATGGAAATTTTTGTAATTTCTCTGATATTGATATGCATTGCAATTTTACTAAACTAAGAACAAGTGCTCTCTCACTCATGATAGAAATTTATCGTGACGGCAAAGAATCCCATCATCTTCCTGTAAAATCAGAGCCGGAACAATCAAATATCTCCCTGAAATCAAATTAGATATCAATTAAATACATATAGCTTTATATCACGCACCCTTCATATCAAAGTATAAAATGAATAATTAATTTAAGAGAAAAACCTATCAAACATCGCCGAGTACATAGATTGAAAAGCAACTCCACTGCACGCAATATTCCTGTAATTGACAACACACTCAATAGTGCATAGGGTAAGCTATAAGAAATAATTTGGCTTCAGACAACCCTGGTACGGTGGCGCCCTTGCAAGTGCGTGTTGCCATTTTGAAGAGGATCAGATACAATTGCTTCTCTCCGTCTTGCCTCATTCTAGTATTCTAACTTTATTGATAGATTTTAACTCAGCAGGTGGCATTCCTTATATTAGTTGCTTCTTTCTTCAATATTATGACTATGTGGATTTTTTTCCTCATAAATCATTGGGGATTGATGGTTTGAGTCGTAGAATCAGTATGCTTTTAGTCTTTTTTATTTGTGCAATTATGCAACAGTTTGAGTAGATTGCCCATGTCTACAATTTAAAAAACAGACACTATACAATGATAAAAATATTGACAATCAAATTTGAAACTAATGTATAAGATGTCCCATTATTACGAAACTAAAAATGAATAACCTAAGCTAATTAATCATTTTATCAATATAATCACGAAGTTACAAGAAATAAGAGAAATAATAAGAGAATTAAACATGTAATGCTGCTCTACCAACGATCGATACCATGGCATGCAAGATCAATAAGCAACAACCATTCATTACTTAAGCCTGACATTATTAATTCGAAGCAATGAAACTCAGTAGACCTAAGTTATCAATTATTCAGATTAAGATTGCCTTATCAAATCATCATTATCATTATAATTGTCATCATTAGTATTATTATTTTTATAGTTATTTTTTTTTTAATTTTTGGCTATCATTACACCGTTTTCATCACTATTATACTATATATAATATAATTATAAAACTATATTATTATTGTTATATTACATCTAATTTATATAAGTTCATTTTAACCTGGTCACCTATGTACAGTACACACATTCGATTACCCAAAAAAGCAGTAGAATTGATTTTACTTAGGTGTACAGCAAATTTATTTAGACCATCTCAAAACGTAAGAAATCTTTGCATCATCTTTGACAACAGACTGACTATGTCAGCTCATGTTACATCCACGTGTCAGTCTGTTAATTATCACCTTAGAAACATCACACTTTTGTCATCTCACGACTTGATTATGCTAATTCACTTTTAGTCTAGTTCATTAGCTAAAGATATCCAACGTTTACAATCACTTCAGAACAGGGCTGATAAAATCATATTTCAAGCCTGTAAATTTGACCATGTCACACCTCTTCTCCAACAACTCCATTGGCTTACTGTTAAGTTTCTGACCGTCTCAAATTCAAATGTCTACATGCTTTAGAGAGAGCAGCTTAGCTCAGTCGGCTAATATGGTGGTAGCCGCTGTGTGTGCACTGAACCGTGGAGATCTCTAGGTCCCCGGTTCAATTCCAATCGCTACCTCTCCTTGTGTTTCAGCTAGAGGGCTGAAATACAAGTTACAATAGCGCACCGTTTTTCGGATGACACGTTTAAGCCGTTGGTCCCGTGTGCATTATGGCCCATGTGCACGTTAAAGAACGCAGTACACTCTTCGAAAAAGAGTAGGGGATTGTCTCCCGGTGTACTGCCCTATCACCACCAGAAGGACCCCACTGGAAATAAGTCTTCTTCTAGACTTTCGTGGGCTATCCTTGCTGTTTACACCGAATAAATCCAATGCAATCCAATCCAGCCTTAGCTCCGTCTTATCTCCAAGACCTTATTTCTATTTATCAGCCTAGACGTCGTCTTCGTTCTTGTCCCGATCAGTTTATACTCAAAGTTCCAAAGACAAATCTGGCTAATTCCACTTCTCACAAGGTTTCTATGCTGCTGCACCATCCTTATGAAACGAACTACATTGTGAAGTTCGTCATTCTCCAACCTTGAAACAGTTCAAAACTGCTCTCAAAACTCACCTTTTTCAATTTATCTCTAATAGCGCTGTGAGATCATCTGAGTAAGAGCGCTTTATAAATATTCAAATTATTATTATCTTAAATTTGGCTGACAACGTTGCAGTAGGAGTGGAGTTAAATAGTGGTTAAGATGCTTGTCTTCAGGGTACTGGGTCCAAACCCTGCCACAGCAGTTCTCTCGATTATAAACAACTCCACTCC